CACAGACACACTACACACACACTACGCACACTGCACACACTACACACACACACACTACACACACTACGCACACTGCGCACACTACGCACACTACACACATTACACACACTACACACGCTACACACACACACACTACACACACTACACGCAGTACACACACTACACACACTACACTACACTACACACACTACACACACTACACACTACACACACTATACACACTACACACACACACACACTACACACACTACACACACTACACACACTACACACACTACACACACTACACACACTACACACACTACACACACACACACTACACACACTACACACACTACACACACTACACACACTACACACACTACACACACTACACACACTACACACACTACACACACTACACACACTACACACACTACACACACTACACACACACACAAAACACAGACACACAACACACGACACACACACAACGCACACACACACACAACGCACACACACACACAAAACAAAAGCACAAACCACGCAAACACGCACGCGCACATGCACGCTTGCGCCCACCCACCTGCCCACGCACCCACGCACCCACGCACCCACCGACCCACATACACACAACTACCTATGGGGTACTGACAAAAACTCATGATAGTGCGCTGTTGGTTTGTCAAGGAGGAGAGCTTCCCAAAGTCTCAATCAAATTTGGTTTGTGTCCGAGAAAATAATATTGTCCCTAACTCATGTGGACATGAGCTGTAAGCGTGAGGCATTCCGACATTGATTGTGGACAGAAATCCCAATGTTTTTCGGATGTCACCCAGGTGCCAAGCAGTTTTCCAGCCAGTTGCTGGGGTCCATGGCAATTGACCGGGTCGACGTTTGGCAACATCTAACATCTTTGCCCCTGACAATGATGATGACACTTGCTTCGGTTGAGCGTTGACCAAGTTGGTAGGTTCAAGCCAATTTTGCAGCTGACCCCGGTAGAGATCGTGACAGAGGAACAGCCCTTTGGAAAAAAAGGAACTAGCGAAATCAAAGGAAACAGATCCTAGTTGGAGATAGACCCACACGGTTTGTTCAAAATCTCCAGCAGTCTATTGTCGATTTGTCAGGGTCCACTGAAATTTAACCCCACAAGCTAAGGGACGGAATCCTCATCTTCGCATGTTCTTGTGGAGGTGGCATCATACAGAACCCGTTGCCACATAAGGTCCGTGCAACCTCTTTCAAGGGTTTCTTGGCGTATCCCACGCCAAATGCCCAGGAGACCATTCCTGCTTCTTTTGGATACCGTTCCTACTGTGGATCCAAGAAGCCCTGGAATGATGATTCTTTCTTTTTTTTTTACCAACAAAACATGGTTGTTCACGGTTTCAAAGTGGTGCAGAAATTCGGCCATCCACCAGAAATGGATCAGTTTGTTTTTGAGTCGGTGTTGCATGGCACCTTCTTGCCAAAAATGGCTCGTCCTTTTCTAGGGAACCCAGGCCCCCCCAAAAAAAGAAGAAGAAGAAGAAGGGTAAATAGATAAATGAGTAAATAAACAAATAAGTAAACAAACAAACAAAGAAATAAGGAAGAAGTGGCTTGCCTATATGCTTTTTTCTTCGGGACCCCCCACCATGGATTTTCGGTCTTCCTTCTGATTTCCCGTCAAAAACAAAAACAGGGTACCGTCAATAAAGACGCACCCATAAGGTGTCTTGGAATCACTTGAGGACCTCAGGAAACCTGGAGTAGATGTCACTTTCACATCTCAATGTTGGCTGATTTGGATCCACATCCCTGAAAATGTTGGGATGTATCCAACCGCAACCCGCAAATGGGTGTTTCTTTTTCCGGGGCACCCCCCAAAAAACCAAAAATAGCAAACAACAACACACAATACAATGAAAAATGAGACAAGAACAAGACAAGAGGTGAAATTCCCGATAGTTTTCTTTTCGACCGGTTCAAAAAAGAACATACCCAAATGCGGTGTTTTTCTTGCCTCAGGGTCATTCCATTTCTCATTCGCGCTCAGTATGAGGGAATGAACCTTCCAGACAACAAGGGTGAGTGCCGTACACTGAAGATAACAAATCAAAGAAGACAAGAGGTCATTCCAGGCTCATTTCCCTTCCAGGGTCATTCCAGGTCATTTTTTTAGTGGGATGTTTTTTTGTGGGTTTATTTGGGAATGAATAATCATCACTTAGACAAGGACAAAGACAACCCCTTCCCATGCGCCTTCCCTTTGGAGAAAGGGGTCGGCGGGTTTAGGGTTTATTTGGGAATGAACCATAAAGGACAGTTTCCCTACAGGAAGCCATAGAGGACGGGTCCTTCCAATTCATTCTCATGCCCCGAGCCTTTGCTTTGAGGAGGCCAGTGAGACGAGAGAGGCCACCAGGCGCGAAAGTCTCCTTTTGTTTTTGTCAGGCGCTTTGGTTTCCTGGTTTTTGCTTTGCCGTTGTATTTTTTCCTTCTCCTTTTCTTTTTCTTCTTCTTTTTTTCTTTCTCTTTTTTTGGTACAAGTATCGTATTCTTTTTTACTATTATGTGTCTTTCGGTTGGGATTTCATTGTTGTTGTTTTTCTGAGACGTTTCTTAATGTGTCTTTGCATTCTTGCTGCTTTCTCCGCTTTTGCTGTTGTCTCCCTTTGTTCTGTTAGCTTTCGGTTGGCTGGTTTAGGGGTTTCCTCAAAGGATTGTTTCTGCAAGTTCCTTCAAATGTTTGGACGTCTGGAACAAGATGCAAGCTTCCCTGCAAGAAAGGGCAGGAATGGCCCCCGAAAAAGACCCAAGACACAAAGTGACGTTGACTGCTTCACATGGGAACACGCCGACAACGAAACAACCGGGCCCCAAAAATACCCATTTCTGAGTGTTTTTGGTCTCTTGATTTCGTGGGGGTCGTGGTTTTCTCCCTCCTTGCGGATCTACGGCCCTAACCCCACCCCACCCCAGCGCCGTCCCTTCTGCTCCCCACCCCCCCCCTCCGTCCCCCCCCACCCCCCGCGTCTTCCGCCGCGTCCTCCCCCCGAGCTCCGGCGGCTTCGCGGAAGCCGCCGCGGCGGTGCACTTGGAGCTGCAGCTCCGCAGCAAGGAGCGGGTCGGCGCGTGAGTCCCGGTGGCGGTTGCGGGGGTGGGGGGGGAGGTGAAGTGGGGTGTGGGGTGGGGGGGTTGGGGGTTGGGGGAGGTGAAGTGGGGTGTGGGGTGGGGGGGGTGTGGGGGTTGTGGCGGGGGTGCCATGGACACCTAGAGCCGATTGTATTTTGCCCAATTTGGATTTTCTGTGTCCACCATGCCGGGGGTTGGGGGGGGGGGGGGGCTGGGACCTCTTGCTGGCTTGATGAACCACACGCGTTTTTTTCTTGAGGCTCGGTACCTCTTGTTGGGTCGGTTTACAGGGCAACCAAAAGGAAACCGATGTTGGGGTTCCCTGTTAGACAAACAAAACATGATGCTCAAGCTGTTTTGTCCTCAAGGAAATTCTTCTGGGAATTTCTGGCGATCGGGCGAGGTGTTTTTCAGCCTGGTCATCTCAGGTTTAGGTGACTTTGGGAGCCGTGAGTCGGAATTTAGTTCACCAAACTCCTGGGCTCAGTTTTTCGAGGGTGCAACGCACAGAGCACCCGGGTTCATTTTTTGAGATGCACCCCTGTCCATCATACTGTGGGGAAGGGGGGGTTTGGGCCAGGTGCTAAGGCTGCAAGATTGCTTTGGAGCCGAGGGAAGAACTCAGTTGCACCAGGTGACCCGCAAGTTCCCGTAGGAAGCAATGAAGGAAGCAAGTAAGCAAGCAAGCACGCACGGCACGCAGGCAAGCAAGTCAGCGAGTCAGCGAGCGAGGATTTGCGGCACTTTTTGCCAAGCAACGGCCAGGAGCGGCTGCGGCGGCTGATCCGAACTGGCCAGGTGGACAAAGCCAAAAAGGAGACAGCATGGCTCGGTGTGCCTTTTGGGTGCTTCTCAAAATGGAGCCCTCCGGGTGGATTGTTTCCTCCTGGTTTCCTTTTTCAACCCTCCAAAAAGGTCACAGGCTGTTAAAGAACGTGGAGGCGAAAGCTGTGTCACACGTGTTTTCCCCTGGCTTTTCTGCAATTTGTCAGCTCGGGCCCATGCTTGGCAGTGAACGGGAGAATTAGGACAGCATTGTTTTCATGCATAAATGGTTAAAAACAAAACACCCAATGTTTTGCATAGTTGCAGTTCAATTGCCCGACAATCTGAACCAGCAAGCTGCAGCCAACGATCGCGGCTGAAATCCTGCTCAATGGTCCAAACAAGCTATGTAGCGAAACACATTAGAGTGAAACTGGGTTGTGATATAGTCTATATAGTCTTGCAATGATTGCCACCCTCTGTCCATACATTGAGTCCCCACTGAAGCAAGCGGGTCGTTTGCGTGCTCAGGTCACAGAGACTCCTCTAGCAAACTCATGTTTGCTGGGATGGACATTGGTGGCTCTCCAGACGCCTTTTTTGCCAGCATCTGCAACCAACATTGGCTCATTGGCCATGCATCAACCTGCGTGCACTGGCGTGTGTGTTCGTGTGCGTGCAAACCTTTCATAACGACGCTAACATCCTCCCCCCCCAACCCCCCAGCCCCTCCCCCACCCACCCACCCTCCCCCGCTCACAACTGCAACTCGACACATCACAGCCCAAAAACAGCAAACAGCAAGAAAAACACCAAAAGTATCATTTTTTTTAAAAAAAAAAAAAAAAAAAAAATAACCAGCATGTTTCCTCCGAAAAGGGGTCCTTTTTTCTATTTTGAGACATGCCTATTGGATAGGCGCCCAGCTGTGCTGGGGATATCACCTAAAAAGATTCATGGCTTTCGGGCTATCTGGTGAATCTCCCGGTGTGTGGCGCATGAATTCAATGGATGCCGTGCCACCTCCAGAAAACATCATCGGCTCTTGTATTTGGCTGACCGGCAGTTGCCGACCCCGCATTTGAGTTGCAACAAGACATCAGTTCAAATTGTGCATCTAAAACCGCAGATTTCCAAAGAGAAACATAACCTCCAAACATTGGCCGAGTTTTGTCCACAGAATGCAGTTGGTTTACTTGCGGTTTGCATCCAAGGGTTCTCCAGTTTCAGAATGGCCCAAAAGGACAGACAACTTGGCGCCGCCTGTGACTCCAACGGCTGGGAATCTTTGTCAACTTTCAACTGGTGAGCCACAATCAACACCTGGGTGGTGTGTGAGGGGACAGTCTTGCCACAAGATGACCGCGGCAAGCTTTTTTTCACCCCTTTGACTTTGCACAATGAAACTCTAAGACTTCAACCCACCAAGCATGGAAGCCTCCAGAGCACCCCTCTCAGTGGAAATGCTCTTCCGGATCCCTGCTTAGGTGGAAAGGTACCCAGTTCAAGCCACAGTTTTCATTTTCGGATGACTTCGAAAACCGTCGTCCTCAGGAGATGCTCTCTTCCTTGCCTCCGTTATCGGACGCTAGGCGGGGGTTCCCGCCGGGCCGCTTCTGGATCTTGCTCGCCCAAGGGGGTGGAAGCACCGCACATGTCGCAAGCCAGGTGGCAAGACTTGGACCGGCTTCCTTTCAAGATCAGGTATCATAGAGAAAGTTTCCTGAACAAAAGTGGTAATTGTGGCCCCCTGCTTTCCCTTCATCTACGCTTGACATACCCAGTATGCAATTGGAGGGCTTGAGGCTTGAAGCATGTCGCCTCTTCCTTTCAGGCTCCCTCACTGACTTGCTTGCAGGCCCACGCACATGGCTAGCTGCGAATAGCATTCTCCATGCTCCCGCAGTCGATCTTGCCACGCCGATTGTTTGGGGGGGACCCTGTTTGTCCAACAAGTCCGCCTTTTGACACTTGGTTTTGGGGTCCAAGCAGGTTGAGAAGTTCAAACAGACCTGGGCAAGATGCTGCTGTTGGCACATTTTTTTGGGAACAAACCCAACAAACGCATCCTGGCACGTATGTGTATGATATGTATGGTTTCACGCCTTTTCTTAGCATTTAGAGGACATACACTGCTTGATTTCAATTCCGTACGCTGATGCTCGACGTTCTGCACGTCATGGTCCATGTAGTTGGTTGTATGGAGTTTGACACCAGTGGATACCAACGGCTTCCTTGTCTTTTTCGAACAAGCTCTTTTTTGGGGGGGCAACATTTTGCAGTTGGAAGCGGGACACAACACACCCAGGCGGAACAAAGAACACATCTGGAGAAGAGCCCGGCGCTTTTGGGTTTCCAGGCCCGGAGACGAGGCTGGGAGTTGGGAGCGGCCGGACTCGAGCTCTTCGGGTGGGGAATCTTCGTTCTTTTCGGTCGCTGGGTTTTGAGAAGCTGCCCAGTCCCGGCCATCTTGGTTTAGTGGTGGGGTTTCCGAATCCATCCCACAAGTTACAACTTTTGCCACGGGATCAGAGCAAATTCCAAGTTTTTGAGAGTCCTGTGGTTCTTTTTGGGGTTGGTGGAAAAAGGGAAGCCCGACAGGCAGACCGCCTGTTTGGGGGGGCTCCGCATTTGGAGGCAACCCCATGCCGGCAAGAGCCCCTAGATTGGACCCTGCCCTCACCCATGGAAGCTGAAAAGGATGATTGGTTGGATCAGCACCAAGCCGGTCTTCCAAATTGCAGAGACAGTTTGACTGATTGGCAACTGACAAAAGACTTTGAGGCGTTTTGCTCTCTCCCTCTCTCTCGCTCGCTTTCTCTTTCTCTCTTTCTTTCTCTTCTCTCTCTCTCTCTCGCTTTCTCTCTCCCTCTTTCTCTTTCCTCTCTTTCTCTTTTTCTTTTTTCTATCTCTCCCTCTCTCTCTTTTCTCTCTCTTTTCTCTCTCTCTTTCTCGCTTTCTCTCTTTCTCTTTTTTGGTCTCTCTTTCTCTTTTGCTTTCTGTTTCTCTTCCTCTCTTTCTCCCTCTTCCCTCGCTCGCTCTCTCCCTGGCTCTATTCCTTCCTTCCTCTCTGCCCTTCTCTCTGCCTTCCTTCCTCGCATACTTCCTCCGTTGCTTCCTTCTTTCCTTCCTTCCTTCCTTCCTTCCTTCCTTCCTTCCTTCCTTCCCTCTTTTGTTTGCCTTGCTTGCTTGCCTTGCATGCTTGCTTTCTTCGCGAGTTCCAAACCACACGCAGATCGGAGCGTGCCAGGAGGTGGCCAACTTTTGCACCAAGGAGCAGGCGGGCCATGGCTTGAAACTCTCTCCACGCGCCGTTCCGCGGAATACGGAACTGAGGCTTCTTTGAGGGGGCTTCTGTTTTGGTAGGGATACCAAAGGGAGGACTTGTCCTTTCTTTTTTTTCTCCGCCTTTTGTGTTTTCTCCGATTTTTTGTTTCCAAGAGGTATACATTTATTTGCTTTTGGTTTTGAAGGGATACCGAAGGGAAACAACCTCTTTTAGGTTGGCTTTTTAATTTGGAGAGAAACCCCGAGGGGCTTTCAGTCACGTTGGCTGTAAAAGCTGTTTCATTTTTTAATTCTAGGAATATTTGTCATGAGAAATCACATGTATCTTCTCAATATCCTGTACATGAGTCCCCACGGAACACACTATGGGAATCCCCTCTGTTTTGTTGGTGCATTGAACCGTTGCTCGACTGGCAGACTGGAACAGATTGGGAAAGGCTCGGTTTTGTCAACAGGACCATTGCGGAATTTGTTCAAGCCACCACCTCCTTCTCCTTTAAGGTAAACCCAAAGGAGGTTAATTGGTGGGCCGGCTTAGTGTCCTGGCTTTTTTCTGACACGCCGTTTGTTGCGAACGGGACCCCGCTCGCTTGAAAGAGGGGCTCCCTATTTTGAGACCCCCGACCGGGTAGAGCTCCCGGCCTTTTTGCTTGAAACAATCCGCGTGCTTTTTGTTGTTGTTTCTGAATACCGTTTTAGGGTTGTAAAGAGAAGCCGAAAGGACACATCATATTTTTGGGTTCCCCCATTTTCAAACACTGAGATGGGTGGATAAAGGGACCCCACAAATTGCGCTTTTCCCTTTGGTTCCCCACTAAGCCAAGGTGAGACGGTATACGGGGCTCGCAATAGTTTACTCCTACAAACATGACTATTTCAGAACCCCTGAGCCAGGCTCCATAGTGGACCGGAGGGTACCCCCATGGCTAATTGTGGTTTTCAAAGCACCCAACACCATTAAAAAAACAAGAATCCTCAACACAATTTACGCCAACCAAAGAAACTCATTAAAAAAAGCCAAAAAAACACCCTCAACACAATTTACACCAACCAAAAAACAACATTCCTAGTATTTAGGCCATTTGCCCTCAACAAAACACATACCCAGCTTCGAGGTTCGCGTTTCCTTTCGGTCAGTTTCCGCAGGCGCTAGAGCGAAGGCAGCAAGGCGCGGAACCAACCAACGCCCGAGTGCCGAACGAGGGCGGCCGTTTTCAGGGTTTAATTTTTTTGATTGTCTGTTGGATCCGCTGTTGGCTGGCAGAGGGACAACTCTCTGGTTTTTGAATGGGTTTCCAGGAGGAAACCACAATTCCTTTGGTGCATTTTGCCAAGGGATGTTAGGACTTTCACTTTTTGCCAGCTGATGGGTTTTCCGTATTGAACCCACTAAAAGTTGAACTGTTAGCAGGGGAGCAGAAAGCAACCGAGGCTCTCTGGTTTCAAAGGGTTTCCAGGAGGAAACCAACATCATTCTAAGAGATAACCCTAGTTTTGAGACGATCCCAACTACCATTGGCATTGCAAGTGACGTGGAACGGTACCTGCAGGTTGCCTTTTCAGATGTTTTGGGCCTTTCCGCCAGGTTTATGACATAAATTCGGTCGTCACTGATCACTTGATTTGGCTGTTTCAGAACGGGAATCAATGCAAGTGCTCACGCAAGCGGCGTCCGAGGCAGGGGGGTTAAATCAATTGGGGTCATTGCCCTTAGACTTGCAAAAGGGTCGGCAGCTGACTTTGGCAAAAATTCATGGGGCCAGCTGCCAGTTCCTCCCTTCATAATGGCAGTTTTCTTTGACCCGACCGCCCAAGCCACCCTAAACCTACACCGAAACTATCCTGAATATCGTGAACTAAGTCCACATTCACCTAATCTACCCTGAACTGTCCACATTCACCTAATCTACCCTGAAATGGCCCACCATTTCATCTTCTCACCCACTTCATTTCATTCTTTTGGCACATCTTTCAGCCTAGACTACCTTTCAAGCACCCACACTCACCAGAACAGCACACTCCCTCCGCGGCTGCCAGGCGACGCCGAAGAGGCGCTGCGGATGATGGGCCGACAGCGCACCGAGCTGTCCAAGGCGAGCTCGGCCGGCGAGCTGCTCGGCCGGTCGGGTTTTGTTTTTTTTTGGGGTGGGGGTCGATAGGTGGCCATGGTTCAACACCAATGGTACCATTTTGGGACAAGTGCACCACCCATTTTAGTCTATTTTGGTGGGGATTGGGATGTTTAGTGGGGGTGCGGGGTTTTGACCCATGGCCAGGTGGATTGAAAGGGAAGCCAACCCCAACAAAGAAATGTTTGATCAACCCCCAAGATGTGGCAAAATGTGGGGATCGGTTTCCCTTTCAATCAACCTATTTAGCCCACCCCAAAACCAACCAACGAAAAATATGTATTTCACCACTAGATGGGGAAAAGTTACCCATGTTCATGTTGGGGCCAGGAATATTGATCAACCCCCCATACTCAAAGGTTTAGTCAAAATGTCCTGATTCGTTTGTGGTCCATTTTGGAAAGACGAGAAGGCATTTGCCACAAGGATTCTGAGGACTTTCTAAACATCCCATGTCCTCTTGAGAACATCTTGGGAAAACAAGGTTGATTTTGACTGGGGCTCAATGTACCTTTTTTCCAACTTTTTAGAAAGGGTGCTCTGAACCCCAGTTCTTTTGGTGTGTGTTTGAGGATACTCCTTTGGATTAAAATAGGGTACCCTTTACCAGATGGTTCTCCGGAAATATGCACCAAACACCGGCCGCTGTCTTGGGTTCCACGGGGCCGTTTTCGCAGAGTCTCTGCATTTCGAAACGCCATGCCGCGTGAGGGACACTGTTGGTGATACGAAGCCGGGAGAGCCCGAAAGGGAGAGGACTCGAGGCAACTTCCTTTCGCCTTTTTTGATCCTCCGGATTGTAATTATTCCCTTCTTCGTTCGCCCAAGGAAGCGCAGGGGATTGTGTTTAGCTAAAAGCCTTTCCCCAGCTATGTAAGGGCCCTGCACTCCTTGTCCTCCAGCAGTGTCCTTCTCTCACTGGAGGGGTCACCCAAAGCAGTTTTGGAGTCTCATTTTGCGAAGCTATCCCTTAGGTTGTTGTTTCTTCTTTGTTCCACCTCCCTGTTGGTTGCATGGTGCATCCTCCACTTTGGTTTTGTGGATCTTGTGCAATTGGAGTCTCGGGGGGGCAGCCGGCACTCACGAAAGCTAGCTCGCAAGCTGGAGTGTCTCTTGCTCAAGCAAGTGATTCCCACAATGCTGTACTACATCTTTGGCCTCAGAGGATGACGAGTTCATCCTCAACCCCCCTGGCCGCAGGCTGACCGCCCGCCAGGCTCCCCGGCCATTTGCCCATTGCTTCGCCCCACTCTGATTGGCTTTGCTCCTCTCTCGCTGCTCTTCTCTCTTCTCGCTCTTCTCTCTCCTATTTTCCTTACTCTTAAATTTATGCGCTCTGTGTTGCGCTCCGTGAGGTTTGCGCATTCCTTGCCCTGAGAACGCAGGGCAGTTGAAGTGCTTTGGCCGTTGTTCTTTTCTTTTCGTTAGGTTCCTCCCCTGTCATCCCCTAAAGTTAACCGTAGCTGCGCGTCGACCCGCGGACGCCAGCTTTCGTTTCTCCCCTCAACTTTTCCCTTGGGAAATTGACTTGACTCAGCTCCCTAGAGGTGGTGCGTTCGGGGATAATTTGGCCCAAGTCGCTTTTCGGCCAGGTGCGAAGAACCCTGGAACACGCCCTTGACAGGCAGGGAAGGGTTGTTCTAAAGCGTTTAAGAGGAAACAGGCGGTGCTATTTTGTGTGAGGAAGTGTTTACTGTACCGTGTTTGGGTTGTTTGACTCACCGCACCAAAGACCGGCGGAAATAAGGTACATATTGGGGGTGCTTTTTTTCGTGGGTAGCCCTTGTCGGGTTCTGTTGAAGGGACATCTACATCCGCTGGGGGGCCCCCGCTTGGTTCTGGGAACCTTCCCAACGCGTTGGCCCACCGGCAGCTTTTGTGGTCCTTGTGCTTATTTTCGTGCTTCAAGCGTCACCTCTTTTGGCCTCTTGGCCTCGCCAAGTCAGCTGGAGTCTTTTGTGTGGTGAGGTGCAAAGACCCGGCCGATTCTCACACGGACAACTCACTCATTGGGAAACGGGGAGTGTTTATAATACGGGCGAACACCTCAAAAGCTTGCATGAGCCCCCGCTATTCAGGCCTACTGGAGGAGCCTGGTGGAAACCCCACGCCCGCAAGGCATGCAACTTGGAGTTTTTTTCGATCTCGAGTTCTGGTTGCATCCAAGTTTCAAAAAAACAGCCCTTGTAGCCTTTGGGTGGACGAAGCCCTCGTCGCTGGCGACGGGCCTCCCTCCCAGCTGTCGATTTGAGGCGGAGAGATTCCTTACGGCGCGCAGAACGACTTCAGCAAGCCAGGGCCTTAGAGCGCATCATTTTCTTGGTGGTTCCCAGCCTTCCGGTTCCTTCGTTTTTTTTTTTTGGTTTGCAAAGGGGGTTCCATGTGACCCACGAAAAGTTAAACCCTTCAGGGGATCTGAACAGGGACCAGCCGACTCACGTTGCTTCCGTGGAGTTTCCACCGGGTCCAAACATCGACTGCTCGGCCGATGCGGCTTTCGGGAGCCCTTCAACGACCTGGGCGGTACAAAGCTCCGGAATGGGTCAAAGACAACTCCCAGATCTTTCGCGCGCGCTTTCGTGAAAAAACCGGTTGCTTGAGAACAGCCTTTTGTTTGGCTTGAAAAGGAAAGACACACATCTTGTGTTGGGGCCGCCCCATTCTGGGACATATCCATGTCTGCCTTTCCTTGGTTGACATGGTGGGAACCCCGGAAATGGTCGGTTTCCTCTAGGTTTTCCTTGAAAGAGCCAAGGACCCCTCCGATTTGGTCCCTGAAAAGGACCTTCGCCAGGTGAAGCAGCTGATCGGTGATGATCGGCTGCTGAACAGGTCCAAGGATGCGCTTTTGACTTAGAGTGCGCGGTCTCAGACAAAAGGTGGCAGGCGACTTATCTTTTTTGGTGGAGACTAAAAGAGATCGAGACTGTGGTATGAATATATGCAGGATCAGAGGCAAGGAACACGAGTCTTATGGTTGTTGTTTTGTGGTTTCTCCCTTGCAGGGCGGCATGTGTACAGGGACGTTGAACAGAAAACTGTCCTTTTTGTGGGCATCCTGAAAAAAGGGCGGGCAGCCTATGCTTGTGACTCGCGTTCGCGGGAGTTTGGGTTGGAACTTTGCTTGCCTTGGGAGGTGAAGCGCCTTTGTATTTGCAGCGGGCGTGAGCTGTCGCTTCGATCCGTGGAATGTTTCGTAGGTGGACACTCCCAGCAGGACCTCCTCCCTTGGGAAGAGAGCTCTCGAGATTCTGGTCTCAGATGTGTTTGGCGCTCACCTCGCCTCTGAACCTGTGCCTCTTCTTCCCAGAGACTATGGCATAAGGATCCCAGCGGGGTTTCGCTTCTAAACGGTTTGCGCAAAAGGGGGCGCTGGTTCTGTGAATGGGCCGGATCCCTTTTTTCCTGTTGGGATCAATCGCCCAACCGGTGCGAAGCGGATTTGGTCCATCCCTTTGAAACATTCCTGTTTGATGGTTGAAGAAAGGCCCTGCCGTTCCGAGTGCGGGCAGCGTGTGAGGCTGGCCACGATGTTGGCTCATCTGCCATTGAGCTTCCAGCGATCAGACCTGTTAGCACATTTGAGATGGGAAGGACCCAAGCATGGGGCAAGCGGAGTATGCATCTCTTTGGGTAGAGACTCGACCTCTTTTTGGAGTGCTTGAATCCTCACCCATGATATTATGGTTCACCTCGGTCTGTCTCTTTTAGGGGACCCGCAAAATGGCGGCAACCAAAACGGGGTACCTCCGAAAAAGAAGAACAAACACATACAGCCAGATTTCTTTCAGAAGCAACTTGGCCAGTGGCGTAGCCATGCCATGGTTTCAATGGCCGGGTCGCGATCGCAGGCTGGATGTGCCAAGATCGGTGACGTTTTTGTCAGGACAGTCCAAAGGCTTGTGTTGGAATGACACATGAACTAGGTTTGGTTTTAGGTATGCTGTCTTGTTTTGTTTGGCATGCGAGACACAATTATTTGTGTGGACACCTCTGGTGTTTTTTTCTTTTGCTTGCCTTTGCTTTGCTTGCCCTGCCCGGCCGCCCGCCTGGCTGTGCTGTCTACCTGCTTCTTGCACACTTGCTGGCCAAAAGCCAGTGTTTAACCCCAACAAGAAAGACACTTGTTGGACCTCGTTGTGTGCCTTGGCCTTGCCTTTAGCCTTTCTTTTGGTCACATGGCATGGCCCGGGACTGGCACTCAGGCGGTGAACGAGGACTCCTATGCCCCTTGTCAGCAGTCTGGGAAAGGCTTTTGAGAGCACCCAATTTGTGGACGCGCTGCTTTTTTGGCGCCTTACGTTCAATGGCTTTGATTGCGAGTGAAATCACACATGACAGCGACAAGAGAGACTGTGGAATGTGTCGGTGACAAATAAGAGCTAAGAACCAAATCTGGATGAAGTCAACTCTTCTTAGAGGCGAGTTTGGGCAGAAACCAGTATGTAGGATGGCAAAGTAACAAAACAGTTCGCATTTTGGTTAACATATGCAATACTTTATGGTCAATATGAACAGGAGCTGGGGACTCACTATGTTCCACGCAAAAAATCAGGGGCTCACTCCCTGGTTTTGTTGGGAAGTGCAGATGCAACATGGCTTCGCGCCAATGATCAGTGCTCCGGATGGGCGAAATCCGCTTCGCACCTTTTGTAATGTGGTTTATCAATCAGTATTTGTAGGGTTTTATCCATTCCAACTGGTGCAGGATTTCGGTTATCCACAATTTTTCAAGCAGCAGGCGGGGTAACACTCCGCAAGACGGAGATCTACAATAGTACCGTGAGCTATAGCGAAACAAATGAAAACACAAAGTGCATACAAGTGAGCAAAACACATGCTTTTTCGGTCGCCAATACATTTGTCAAGGAGAGGGCAAGTCAGCAAGTCGTGTGACACCAAATGCACACGGTGTTGTCTCTAAACAGAAGAGTGGTTTCAGTTTGGCCCCCCTAGGTTCCCCTTGCTTTCCCGTCGCGACACCAAATTCACATGGTTTTGTCTCTAAAGAGGGAAGTGTTTCCCGTTGAAAGCGACCCTCCAAAGGCTTCCAGAGGGGCAAAAAGGGACACCTCCTGGCGGTTGGTTTCTTTCTGATCACCCCCCATGCCGATGTCTTTTCTCAGAAGCAATGGAACTGACATGCAATGTTGAATTTGTAGGCGTTGCTTCAGTTGGCAGAGAGTGAAAGTCAGCAAACCCAGCCCGGCGATTGTCCCATGCCTGGTTTCCTTGCTCCCCTCGTTTGCAAGTCGGCCAGAGCCATCGAGGTGTGGCCTTTGCGTGCGGAGCGGCAAAAGGAGCCCCGCTTCGGGGCCATCCTGCCCAAGGTGGAGAAAGCGGAGTGCTGTGCCGGGGGAAATTGGTCCAAGGGGCGGGGGCTCGCTAAGGACATCTAGGGAACCCTACTAGATTTCCCAGTCGTGCCCTTCTCTCCCCTTCTTTTGGGGGGAGGGTTCCCCTACTAAAATAGACTACAGAAAAAAATCGGGTACCCTTTTTCTAACCTCTCTCTGGAGGACCTAGCCTATAAAACCCTATGAGCCACGGAAGCGGCTCTCAATTCCTTGTACCTCCCCCCCCCTCCCCCCCCCCGCTCCCCTCCTCCTCCTCCTCCTCCTCCCCCCCCCCTCCTAGGGCTTCCATAGAGAAAGGGATTTTTTACTGTGGTAGCGACAGATTGCGCGAACCTCCTTGAATGGAATGGGTGAAGCCGCCGCAATCGTCCCCATCGCGATGGAGGGAATCTTCAAGTGTTACTTCGGCTTCTCAGATGAAGCAGATGATCCAAATTACATGTGACCAACACATGGCTGTTTTGGCACACACGGGAGATTTCATGAGCCCCAACCAAACGTGAAGATCGCAGGCCATGGACGAAAGAAGGAGATCATCGCCATCTTGGTTCCTCCCAGACAAAAGAGTTCAAGAACCAGACCATGGCCACGGTCGATGATGGATTCCAGTATGATCAGAAGCATTTCCACAGGGCCAGACTGCCGCGTGCAACTTGGCTCTGTCCGATGTCAGCTGGATTCAAAAGCGCTGATTTGATCCCTGTCCTGGCTTGAGGCTTCCTGAAGACAGCACTTTGTTCTTGTGCTGAGCAGCCTCTGGCGTGCCTTGCGTAAACAGCTTCTGACCTCTGATCTTCCGATGTTGTCGAGGTTCCTTCCCAACACAAGCGCAAGGGCTGGCAGCGAGATCGGTTCTCAATAAGCCCGGTGCGCGCTTGGAGTTTGAGGGATGTGCAGAGGCCCTACAAATCCTGCTGAACTTGTGCATCGCCCCTTTGAACTTTCTTGCAGTGGGTCACACTGTTGACATTGCTGCTGATGCAGTGTTTTCGCCTACAACTCCAGTAGTCTGCACTATTATGATAAGATGACATGTTTCCCCACGGGTGGCGATGGTCCTGTAACAGCGCCCGCGCGCTCAGCGATCCAACCACGACTGAGATAGATGCACAGAGCTTTCCATGAGATGGTGCCACCGCCGTTTGGTTCAGCGGTTGCCTTGATGATAGTCTTCATTGTGATATTCAAGGTGTCATTTGGCATGTTGCCTACTTTGTTTCTTGCTCGTTGTCAGTGGGAGCTGTGCAACATGGTGATGTGGCTTTTTGGCGACGCGACCACACCGGCGAGCTTCTCGGTGTCGATGTTGGAATTCCAGAGCACCCAAGACACCACTGCCACTTCGCCGCCTGCCCCGCAGCAAAGCAATCCACCAACGCAATGGCGCTGGCGACGGAGTACTCACCTGATCGCCCCCCTCGTCCTGCTGCCGCGGACAAAGCGCTTTCCCTGTCACCAGCAGAAACGCATTGAGCCTGAACCTTAATCAGCCGGATTTATCACGAGGGCCTTGCGGACCCAGCTGCATCAGTCCCAGGAACTTGGCGGCGCTGAGTCAGGCCCAGCAAGAAAAGGAAAGCGCGAGTCCGAGCAAGGGCGGTGAGTCCATGTGGAGTGGTAGAATATGTGGTTATACTTCTACCGTGTGAGACATTGTGTGTGCTGTACGTGCAGCCCTCCCTGCTATCAACCGCGTTGTGGTGTTTCCTTGGCGCTAAAACTAGCCACACGTGCGGCGCCCCAACAAAGCGGCTGACAAGCGAAGCCTACCTCCACAAGACATTCCACGAGGGGACTGGTGGCAACGGTCAAGGAGCGCGCAGCCTTGGGATGACACTTTCGCATGTGTCGCTTGCGCGGAATGTGCTTTTGAGTTACGTGATCAGCCAGTAAAACAAGCGCAACAGCTGTTGCTCACATGAGCGACTCATGCGCGGGTACCTGCGCCGCTGTGCCGGCATGCGGTGCAGCGTGAGCCTGATCATGGCGCGTGGAAAGTCAGCGTATCCACAAAACCCAACTTGTAGAGGAGTCTTTTCTTTTGGTTGGCGAGGGCCCTTTGGTCTGTTTGCAAACTTCGTGTTGGTACCTCCCTGACTGCAAACATGAGGACCCAGAATGTCATTTCCGATGAAGCCTTCGTCTGCTTCTTCATCTTCAACCCAAAATCCGTCTCGCATGACTTGGGTCCTAAATCTTAAGCTTCAAGGGTTCCTGGGTGGCAAAGTTTCAGCGCAAAAGCGCAACCAGTGTAAAGCGGCCAGGGGCAAACTGCCCTTCGCTGCCACTTTGTGGCGCAAAGGGGGCTGAGTGCATCTTTACAATCTCCCCTAACACGGAGAAGCGTGACCGCGCGGAGGCGGTGCTTTCTTTCACGGCGGCACAAGCTCTAGCATGCCGGCGCGGCTGCGGGATGCGCAGCCGAGCACAAAACACAGCTTTCCGGCAGGCTTCCCCTCCTGCCTGGCCAACGTCCTCAGCAATTTTCTGGCGGGCTCGTTGCAGGCTTTGCGTGGAGGAGCGGGGCAACGCTTGCGTCGCCGTCAAAGAAAGCGCCGCCTCCACGCAGTC